GGTCTGTTTACAGAATAATCTGTAGAAACCTGTTATAATTAAATGACCCTTTCTTCAGCTGCTTTTGGGGTTTCAGTTTGTGTTTTCATTCTTTAGACTTGCTTTTCTTCTATGTCCCAAATGTTTGAGCTGAAGAACAAATGTTTTGTTTTGATTCAAGTTTAATATTTAGTAAACTACTTGCTCTCCTCCCTGTATGGTGTGTACCTGTGATTCTTGGATGCTGGGACTCTCCCAAGGGCCATCCAGGGTACACTCAGCCAGTGTATAATTTTCCAAAAGAACTGCTGAAGAGTCTTAAGAGACTGGCAAAGCTTCTGGAACCAGGGAGAGCAGCCAAAACTGCTCACAAAGTGTTATGCACGGTTTGAAAGAATTAATGACATCTGTTTCCATGTGACCATCAGCTTTGCTTTCCAGAAATCCTCGAGGAGCTTCAGCATCTGTAAGACAGTATCCTCAGGTACTTGATGCCAGCAGCACTGCTGCTGCTGTGTGGGAAGGGTACATTTTGGTTGAGATTTATGCCACACCTGGTAGATGTCAGGGTTTGCAGATGGTGCCAAGGTGGGTTCTCTCTGAGCTATTACAATTGTGGGAGTGAGTTGTGGTTACAATTCACTGTAGAGAGACCGGCCTTGACAAGAGCTGGCATCAGCTCCCCTGAAAGCAAGGAAAATACAGGCAAGCTTGAAGTTAGAAATGGTCTGTCTTAGCTCTTTTTTGCCTCCTGATATTGAGTCCATTAACTTTGGGACATCACTTAGTTTCTTTAAAAGCAATAGTTTTCAAATTACAATAATTTTTCAGACTTGAAATGGGATCACTTATCTGGGTGAATCTGTGAGGATGGCGATTTGTGGGACAGAAGCATATGGGCAAGAAAGACCCAGAACTGCTAAATCAACAGGAAAGCTACCAACTTGAGGTGAGTGTGAGGGTGAAGGAACTGGAAAGAGCAAAAGTAAAGTGCCCTTTTCTGTAAGAAATCTCACTGTGGCAGCAGTTTAAGGAGCACTTGTATAAATAGAACAAGAATGGCAAGCAGAAAAGCTTCTGAAATCTGAACAGATATTTAAGACTGTGGAATTAGGGAAACTGTTGGTCTAGTCTTTCACTTCTAGTCTAAAGGGAAACACTTAATGAAGTCTGTTGCATTCTTATGCATTGGTATGTGAATATAAACATGAAGAAATTAATTTATTTTTTTAAATAAAGGCATGGTAAATCTACATGGGTTTTTTTAGTTCTTTAATACAGCAAAGTATCCAACTATGCTAAATCTTCTCTAGCAGGTCTATCTGACTTTCAAGTAGTTTATAACCTCAATTGCTATTTTTATAGATATCTTTAAATATATTAACTGGATGGATGTCTCTATGTGCTTGTATCTCATTTTAGGAATTAAATGAGAAATCTTGATTTGGAGATTTTTTTAAAGAGAGGGTTTTTCTCACAGCAAAATGACTGACTCTATAGTCAGGCCTATAGCATGTACCAGAAAATTCTAAAGAGAGTGGTGGCTGATTAAATCTCGTCAGATACACACTTCAATATGCCAGTATTAAAAAGCATGTGTCTGGTGGAAAGATCAATATTTCTAATGTTTTTCATACTGGTTGAATTACAGCTGTATTAATCGTTTTGTATTTCTTGATTTCCCTTTTCTCATTTTGATAATATGAATTTTATGCAAGTACAAATGAGAATATCTTACCCAGTCTAACATACTGTGTTGGGGTTTTTTCCCCTCAAGAAAGACAACCTTTTTAATATGTTTTTGTGGGCTAATTTGACATTCTGGACATTCTGGAATGAATTATTTAAATGTATTTGTCAAATATGTTTGCTGACTTGTAAGCAAAGCTTTTAGTTAATGTCTGTTATTCAAGATCTTTTAAAGTTCATGAGCTTTCTTTTCCATATTCAACAGGTATGTTTTTCATTGTAAATCTTGATTTTAAAAATAAAAACTCAGTAATACGTAAATAGGAATTCTAAATCTTTTCATCTGCAAAATCCTTCTAAATAAGGAGGCCAAGTGCATTGGCTTTTAATTCTTATAAAAGAAACAATAGATATCTCATGGGTATAATAAACTGATTTATCTGTGAAGCTTTTAGTAAGATTTAATTAAATTCTCAGCAAAGCAACTGAAATCTTGTTTGAAAGATAACACTTGCATTTTAAAGTGTTGCTTTTTCCCCTGGGTTGTAATTAAGCCTCATTTAGATAGATTCTTTATATTTTTACTTTTTTATGTTCATACTGCCTTGGGTTCTGGATTCTGCCTTGGATGATCTCTTGGCTTAAAATAACAGGTTTTATACTTTCAACTCCAGAAGCCCATGAACAAGCTTTATTTTTAATGAAGTCCTTATCTTGGATGTAGCTGTTAATTTCCAAATAATATCAGCTTTCTGCCGTGGCATCACTAAAAGCCTGAACTCTAAAAATGGTTTATTAAGTTCAGAGAACTGCAACCTTTGTTATTTTGGCCTTGAAAATAACTTCTGTGGATCCTATTGCATCTGAATTCCTCTCCTGAACTTGCTGTTCTGGGCTGCCTCTTTAGTGCATTAAGGTGCAAATTCTTTATCTGTGTCTCTGATTAGTTCTCAGCTCAGGCTGGAGGAGCAGCTCCACTCGATGTTCACTGCAGCCTTTGTGTCGCAGTTGAGCCACATTTTCATTCCTCAACTATCAAATTCTCACACAGAGACTTTTTTACTTAGTCCTGCCTTTCCTTTGAACCATGAGAAACCCTGCAGCAAACCTAAAACATCCTTACTTATCATCTTTCAGTTTGCAGCTCATCTCTACCACAGTCCTACAAAGCCCAGATTTGGTGGTAAGGCAGGTAAAGTAAAACTATATTTTCCCAATTAATTTTTGGTTCAACACAAAGTAATGCTATCTGCTAAAATTTTTGCAGTTAACAAAACTTTCTTGTTCCATTTCTGACATTATTAATTTGCCTGAATATTTTATAAGTATACTTTTTTCTACACATTGCAAGGCTGAAGGGCTTTGGCAGCACAGATGGAAGAAGGTCTAACTGTTTGGACCTCCAATATATGCCCATATTTGCTGCTATATCTCTGTCATTGAAACTGATATGCATAATTGTGAGACCAATCCATTTATGTTTGATAGAATTATGTGACTGCGGGAAAATGAGGTAGAAATAAGGGATTAAAAAAAAAACCAACCCCCTTGGGTTTGGGGGTTTTTTTACCTTTTTTTTTTTTTTTTTTTTTTGTGTGTGTGTGTAGCTTTATCATTTTGTATTGTATGGAGGCTACAATTATTCCATCCTGGCTAGTTAAAATATACTCTTTTGAGTTTGGCTAACATAGAAAATAGGAGAACTATTTTTGAGTCACATAATCTCCCTAAATACCAGCTCTTTATGTAAGCTGGGGGTTTTAAATATTATAAATGTAGAAAGATTTATAAATGCTTCAAGAGTGTTCTGTTTTGGTATAATCCCTGGGAAAAACCAGTGTCCTGTCTTGGTCAGGGCATAACATAGTCTTGGAATATAAGTAACAAGTAAATGATTGTGCCACTAGTGTATACTTTATGACCTTTAATTACCATCTGAACATCCTCAGACATATCCCAGAGCAGTAATAGCTATCTGCAGTGTGATGAGCTTGAAAACATTTTAGTAATTTGGCGTGTCAGGAGTTTCTTCCCTAGAATATAACTGGGGGAGTTGGTATGTATAATGTATATATTACCATAATGTTTTATATAATATGTATGCCTGAATGTTTATAATAGATAGGTTCCTGGGCAGTCTTTTTCTGAATAATAACCCTTATCACACCCAAATGCTACTTTGTTTGCTCTTTTGTTTGCTGTGGTGGCGGCCTGGCTTTACAGTACAAAGGTCATCCTTTGATTCTGTGCTGCATAACTAATACAATCTCTATTCAGAGGAACACTGGGCTTCTAGTTAGTACCAGATTGTGCTCTGGTGTCGTTTTCTTACTTGGAATTCTGTGGTTTTCCATGAACTGTCCTTTTGAATCTCATCCATTTTCCCCAGGAGGAATTGATGAATCACCTCAGTAAGTGTAGCAGGAGCCAGGGTGTTGGGTAATGACTGATTAGGGGCTTATTCTCTTTGTGTAGTCGTGGTGAGAAAAATTCATTCAACTCCTTTAGGTAGACATGGTACACTTCCATTTTGTGTGGTTTGTGTTTTTGAGATGGGGGTTATATCAATCTTTAGCTAAACCCCTCCCTTGCTGGAAGGAGATCCCACCTTGCACAAGTGAGAGATCTGATTGTTTGTTCCTTGTTACTGCATCAAATTCATCAGTGTCACAGGCTTTTCACAGGCACATGTAACCTGACCTGGATTAGGGTAAAATGCTTAGTGTCTCTGAATCCTTAATTTCACAGACCATGACCAAAAAAATCCTAAATATGTTAACCAAAATTTACCTGGGCTAAGGAAATTAAAGGGCTGGTTTGGGTGAGTTTCGCAGTGGTCTGTATAAAACCTATTTGGTAGCAGGAAAAATCCAGGTAAAAATTAAGACATTAAATGTATAACATCAGTCACACATTAATTGCAAGGAACTAACAGCTGTTAAATCACTGGCTGTTGGGAAAAAAATTAATTAGAGATCTGTCTGCCACCAGCTGGAACACATTTCCATGTGAAAGATGATTGACACACATTCAGGTAGTGGAGACTCTAAGTAGATAAAGAAAGGTTATCTCTCTTCATTACAGTATTTCCAATTCAGTGATTGGTTTAAATACTTTTGTTATTATTATTATTTAGAACAAGATAACCTTCAAAAAATTTAATCTTCCTCCTTGAAAATTATGTGAGTAATCCATTTGACTACAAAATGAGACAATGCAGAAGGTTATGAGGATTATAATCACTTATATTTAGGCAGCTGATGAATCAAACTAGTCCAGCAGTCTAGTTCTCAAAGCATGCTTTTAATAAACTAATCACAGGAAAACTGGAATTGAGTGCAGCAGTTTTATTGAAAAAGTCCACAGGTGTGTGCAATTCCTTTATTAAAATGTTTTCAAATACATTGGACAAGGAGCAATCGATGAAGAGATATTCCTTTTTTATACATTTTTATTTCCAGAACTATACAAACATTTGAAAACTTTCCTTTTCTTCCGTTTTAACTAGTAGTAATTCTGTAATGATAGGTTATAGATCTCCCTTTTCAAGCTGCAAGCCCACTTTCCTGGAGGCGACATTTTACAAGTAAAAAAAAAAAGGTCAGTCTTATTTACATGTGCTTAAGGTTGCATAATTGAGCATCATACAAGATCTGAAAACCAGTGGATAAATGGTTTTCAAGATTCACCCAGGTGGGTTGAAGGTGTTAAATTCACATAACTGCATACACATGGTTTAGTAGCCAAGACACCCTTTTGGTCCCTTTTATTTTCAAGGCTATCTATAAACTGTGCTAGCCATGGGAAAGGTTTGTTTTAGTAAAGGTACTCACTGAGTGAAAGCAGCACTGACAACGACTATTGCTAATCAAGGACATGAAGGGGCAGAGAACTGTGTGTGTATATATAATACAAAGTCTAATATTTCAAAATTAACTTGAAGCTCTTATGTAAAAATAATGTCTAGAATAAAAGCTATTTCCTGGACTGGTTTAAAGAATAAAAGACCCCCACAAACACTTGTGTAAGGAAAAAAGTAGAGCTTAACATAGGAAAAGGAACAATAGAAGCACGTGGATTAAATTCGGAAGCTGATCTTGCAATGTATAATTACTGGAGATTCAGTTGAACTATCAATGGCAAATGAAGGCTACAACTGCAGCAGACACATACATTACACTTTGTGAGCTATTATATTGGCCATACAGATTTGTCTACATGTTATTTATTTGAATCCTTAAGGCTTCTCTAATGTCTTACATGAAAGTGCTGTCTGCTTGGATCTTCCATGCATGAGGGAAAGGGGCAATTTTTCAAGGAAAAAAAAAGTTCTGTCCACATTTCAATTACAATAGCACATCCAGAGACACAAAACAAAAGACAAAACTTCATGGTACCTTTTTTCTTTTATTTTGGCCCCCAAAAGATGCATGCACTAGACTTTATGTACTACAAGGTATTGAAATATTTACAGCAGTATACATGTGCTCTTAAAGGAATGGCATTTTCATCTTGGTAGGAGTAGAAGTTAACTTTCCTAGCTTAATAATACCTATTCAAAGTGAGAGATGACTCTTCCAAAAAGAAAAGCCCACAGAGAATAAAGCTATAGCATAATTGTAGCCAATGTTAGCCAACTGTACAGCACTTTATCTCCTCTCTCTCTCTCCCTCTCCTGTTTAAAATTGCAGTACCAGCTGTTAAGCGGTGTTGCTGTGCTCCTCATTTCTCTCTATTCCAGAAGGTGCAGCTGTATATTACCTGTCCATATGATTTTATTTCCAAATTATTTTTGGCATGTGGAATGGACATATAACTCACAATAACCAGATGGCAATTTTTGGACAAATGATGTGACTGATATTTACGGGATTATGGCACTAAAGAATTCAGACCATTATAAAGCGCATCAGAAATACTTCAAGTGAATTTAGGAAACCATCTCTCTAAGAAATTCAGTGAGTAAGGCTCGTATCACTGATTTCCTTCTGCCTTCAAAGGTAAAGATACGATACCCAATAGACCAGGTTGAACAAACAGAAGGCAGTTGGGAAGAAGATGCGGGCGTAGGAGTCCATTTTGGCAATACGGATGTGTATCCTGCCGTGCCTCCACGCCCCCGTCCGACAATCCTCAAAGCAGCAAAAAAAACTGGCACAGTCCTTGCCATCGAGACACTCGTACCCATATTCTTCATCCCTTTCTTGCAGGTGTGTAGCATTGTTCATTTGAATTGTAGCTGATCGGGGGCGGATGTCAATAGTAGGTGCCTAAGGCAGAGTAGCAAAAAGAGAAAGAATTCTGTTATTATCATCACCAGAGCAACTGGGAGAGGGAGACTAATGGGTAGCATGTGCATGGTGATCTGTGTGGGGCACGTGGGTGCTGAGGGGTTCTAATGGTAATATTACCTTGAACTTTAATTAAAGTCAGTTGTATCACACCCTGTAACTTTAAAAGGAAGCAGCACAAATTAATAAAGTTAACAGCTGTGGCCAATTGGCTTCAAAGCCAGACTAAGTAAAATTAAAGGTTAAATGAAACATCCAGGAATGTAATTTGATAGTATTTTGAATTTCTTTTTTGGTTTATATTTTACATAGCTGCTTGATATCTGAAGGCAATTTGTGTATTGCATGTGGAAGGAGATGAATGAACTGGAAATGCAGGATTTTGGTAGGGCTGGTTTATGTTGAGACAGGAGCAAATACATATACACAAGAAATAAAGGCAAAAACTGGGTCTTTTGAGTAGGGTTAGGAGAGTCTTTATAAAACTCTCCAATTATTTGAATATATGCAGTTCACCACCTACTAATGTTCACCAACTAGACAGTTTGACATATTCCAAATTTTATATAGTAGCTGTACATATATATCTACACACACACATATATATATATTTAGTATCAGTTGAGCAAAATAAGCATTAAGCATTTAAACACATCTGAGCACTTGGTGAACACTAGCATGATAGGCACTGAAATTTTCTGCTGATAGTTATTAGGAGGAAATAACAATTCCATTCTATAAGTATGGAAATTTCTTATTTTTTGTAGTTTCTTTTTTTTTTTTTTTAAATAAAATCTCTGCATTTCTGAATGCAGATAAGTTTTAGATGTAGAACACAGCTAGATATATTTGCTAAGAGTGTGTTGATCCAGGGACAGCATTAGAAATCTATATGCCTCTTAAACACTTTCAAAACTCCAGGGTTTTTTGCATAAGGATCATCATTTGAGTAATTGATGATGACACTGAATTTTGTTCAGGTCAACATGATTTGGTTTTGTAATTTGGAGTGAAATCACAAAGGTTAAAAAGTCAGAGCTGAGTTCCAACAGGGTAAATTGCAGGATTGTAGGGTAGCTGGTGCTATTGGATCCCATGCCAAATTAAGAAAGAGAGGAGCAGAAATGTTTTAACATTAAACTCTCTTAATTCATGTGATCCAATAATGTTGGTCATTGCTGAACTTATCTAAGTTCAGAACCATAGTGAATCAGTATTTGGGCTGCTGAATCAACTCTACAATTTGTTTAGAAATATGTAACCATTCTACTTAATTAGGTAGTACCTTGAGTAGAATGCTTAGAAGCCTCATTATAAAAAAAACAAGAAAACACCACTCTTATCCAAGTTCTAACAGTTAAATTCAGCAGTTGCATGCAGTGAATTTCCATTCCAAAAAACATTATACCTTGAAGGAAAACATCCGAAGAAGCTTTCATTTTGTAGACAGAAAAGAGAATCAGAGGGTTTTGTTTTAAATTAAAGAAAGAAAGAAAAGAAAGAAAGAGAAAAAATAATGTAAATTAAAAATATGTCTCTAAAACATAGTAAGTCTAAAGAACTAGATTTATAGAAAGGTTGGGATAACAGCAATTGAAACAAGCATCTGTAGCATAAAATCCCCACATTTTTGACTTGTCACTGTCTTGTAGCTATAGCTGGGCCAAGGACGTAAGATATCAAACTTCATTTAGATTTTCACATCCTGAGGAGGTTCCAGTCTGTTATGCTGAACTGTTTTGAAAGAGACCACTCCCAGTTTATAAAATCACTATTTAGAAAGAAGTCTTTTTACCTGCAGATGGTGACCTGAACAGAGTAGAGTTACTTTTAAGTTTTTTAGGCTCTGTGATTAGGATCCAGGCAAACATTTCTAGCTCTCTTTCTTCCCAGAAGCTCACACATAAGCAATGTAAAGAATAAGTAATCTGCTCCTACATGAACACTTTAAAGGAACACAGTTAAATCTGAGGTATTTAGATTTTGTTCCTTTACTTGACTGCATAAGACATATAAGCACAGAGACTCCCTTTTATTTCCACCTAAGACAGGACACTTCGCTTTATCATTTTATTTCGGTTTTTTACAGTCTTCTTCTCAACAGCTTTTAAAGTTGAAATTACAGGAATAATGTGTAGTAAAAGGTTCTTTAATTGTTATTTTTTTCTATATCCTTTCTGTGCTCTGTGTTGTAACTAAAAGAGAGTATCTTCAAAAGTTGTTGAATATTTTAGCAGAGCAAATCCAAATCACTTTATTCTTTGCTAGATGCCTAAAATGGATTTGAAAATGCTCTCTTTTAATGTAAAACACTTGTTCTTCACTTTTTTTTTCCTGTAGATGATCATGCTACTTTTCACCCTCTGATTTTAAACTAAGTATTTTAGAGATGGTAGACAACAGACTTGTCAGTTCAGTTGCTAAAAGCCAGGAGAATTCTGTCCTGTTCAAAATAAGTAACTTTTTTTTTCCCTGTTTGGGCAAAAGCCCAAATCTCTACTGAGGGTGTGTCCAGGATTTTTTTTTTTAATTGTTGGTATTATATACATTTTATTTATTATTGGGTAGCATGCATCCATAAATATCATCATAAACTACTAGCCAAATCACTTTCTAAGGAAGAGAAGTAGGTAAAGGAGGTGAGAAATATAAGAAAAAGAAGATAAGGAAACAATGGAAACAGATGCTTAAGGGGAAATTAGAAAAAGCACACACTGCAGTTTGAATATAAAAGTTTAACTGCAGTCCTGATAATAAGAAAGAAAGTCATGTCAATAATATGGACGTAAGTTAGTGGCATAGAATATTGCTAATGCTAAGACAGAGAAACTGAGAAACTTCTACAAAAGTCACAGCAAGAGCTCTCTATGGCATAAATAATGGGTTTGGTCATAGTTGTGCTTTGCCAAACACTTTGGTTAAAAGGATCTTTATTCTAAGAAATTAGTTTCTCTGGCATGCAGACAACTGTAATATATGAGCTTTTCATTCTCAAGGTGAATGTTTGCATTTCTACAATTACAAAGGGAGAGTATTTATGTAATAGCGAAGTATGAAAAAAAGGACATTTATAAAGAGAGATTTAAATGCTCTCTCAGAAAAAGTAATTGAATTTTAGGCCTTGCTGGTAAAAAGATACATACTGGGTTTTTCTTCTTTTTGTCTTTATCCTTGCTTGGCTTTCTATTGCTGACAAAGTAATGTAAAGTTCCATATTCCACCAGTGCAGAGAAAACAAAAATAAAGCAGACTGACACAAAAAGATCCATTGCTGTCACATAGGAGACCTTGGGAAGAGATTTACGAGCAATTGTACTGAGGGTGGTCATTGTCAGGACAGTTGTAATACCTGGTAGATAGATAGAAAACAACAGAAATATTATTACTTCAAGTAACAAACTGATTTTGCCAGTTACCTCTCTCTGACTGCTTTTGAAGTATGCCTGGAGTTCAAACAGATAGCAGAGATATTAAACAGTACATCCCAGCAATGAAATGTGGATTCAGCGAGAGCTTAGGGGATTAACAGCAGTATGAGATATTTTTGCATGGCCACTGCCAGTGTTGCTCTGTAGAATATTTTGGTTAGGTGGATTCTGATTCTAAGAAATTTAATTTAGGATTTTGGTTTGGTAGTTTAATTCTAGGGAGCCTTGATTTTTATTTAAAAATTTAGGTTTTGGGCTCAAACCCTTAAACAGAGCTAGAAAAGGTCTGTAACTGTGAAGCACTGTGACATGCCTCGCCACCCCTTCCCCTTTCAGAACATTGTTCCCTGTACTATGATGTGAAGAACATTAAAAATTAAGTAGGACAGTTAAAATCCATCACATTGTACATGGCAAATTTCATACCATTGGTTTTACCTTTTTAGAGGTACAAATAGACTAATTCTCAACAGAGGGATAAGTGTTTTGTGTATCTGAATGCCTTTATAAATTTTCTACTTCTTTAAAGCAGATTTTATAACCTCTTTTTAGAGAGGATGTGAAAAGGACAGTTAAAACTTCCTGTCATGGGAACCACTGTTCCTCTGTTCTTGTGTTTCTCGAGAGAGAGTCTGGAATGAAAATTGAGTCCCTCATTTTGCACTCCAATGCTGTAGTTCTCAGAAGAAATGGAAATGCAGAAGGAAAACCTAAAATGATCCTCACTTGTGTGGATTTAATGCAGAAGTAGAAAATGTGTTTGAGTTTCTCTAGTTGAATATTTCTACTTTGCTGTTTCTTATAGCTACAGCTGCTTTGCACAAGCAAGATTAATTTGGTCTCCATTTATTTGTGGAGCAGTTGCTAAATATGTAGACATTTCTAATTCTGATGATTAGTTGCATGTCACATTTTCATGTATAAGATTTTGATTACCACCAAATTCAGTTGTTTTTTTGGCCTGAAGTCTACACTTGATTATCGGCCTCTAAAGTAGAAGTCAGGGTACTACATTCTCCCCTTGTTATCATTATGGCATGCAGGCAGCCAGAAAGGTGGATTCCTTCTCAATAGTGGATTCCTTCTTTATTTGTATTGCCAGTCACGGTGAGAACAAGTGAAACTAATACATCCCTGCCTCTAATCCAACAATGTTCTCCATCATCTTGATGGTTATAAAATGTACTGCTGAAATTGGAAAAAATGGAAAAGCTTTTAGTGTTGACAATCTACAATACTCAGAAACTGACACAGTAAAAAGGAAGAGATGCAAATATGGCTTGTCTGTGTTATTCCTTGGAAATCACTACATCCCTCTAAATGAGGAGAATTCTTGTGAAATTATCTCTTCTCTTACATCTACAAACTCGTGATCTGCAGAGGTGTCAATTAAACATCCTAACACTTGAATAAAACCAGGAAAAAATCAACTCACCCAGTGATGTTCTGGCTGGAACTGCATCCTTATTAATCCAGAAAGAGACCCAGGACAAGACAACAATAAGTGTGCAGGGAATGTAGGTCTGAATAGTGAAATAACCCATTCTCCTGCTCAGGTTAAAGAAAACAGACATGACTACATAGTCTCCTGTAAAACAAAAGCATAATGAGATAAAATATGTTAAAAACCCAACATAAAATTTCTATGTAAGAGCCATGGTTTTCCTATTCCATGTCTGGAGGTTGGGGTGTGTGTATAACCCCACATATATTAAACTGATTCACCAGAGATACTGATGACAAATACATTTATACATCTTCTTCAACCCAGGTCTAGCTCAAGAGCTGGTGAATTTTCCACATTTTGAAAGCAAACAGTCTTATGGATCCATTTAGGTGACTTTACTGTAAGATTTCCCTTGCATAGTGTGACAGGTTTCTCCTACCCAAGTCACTCCTCACCACCTGCAACTGCCCGGGATAGTCCTCTGGCAGCAGCTGAGTGAGTGGTGGTCCAGCCATCTCCAGTCCCCATGCTGGTCCTGTTGGCACACTCAGCTCTGCTCTCAAATGTTGCATGCTTTCAGATGTACTCCCTAGATTATCCATGTTGTCAACTATTCTTCAGGGCTAGGCTGTGTCAGTAATTATTTTTTTATTTGCCTGAAGGTTTTCTGTTGTATTTTCTCCACTAAAATAATTTAAACCCACATTTCCCAAATGCCCCCTCAAGCCAGGCTGGAAGTTACTCTGGTGTACATAACACATCATTCCCATTCAATAGTTTGTGATTTTCTTTTCAGGTTCTTTTCCTCTCTCAAATTATTAAGTAAATTCCATCTGGATTCAGGGATACAGCAAAGCTTCAATTTTTGATGTATTCTTTTCTAAGCCAAAAAAATCCCCAACCCAACAACAAAACAAAACAAAAACAACAACAACAACAAAAAAAAACAACCAACCAACCAACCAAACAAACAAAACCCCAAACCAATCCAAAACAAAACCAACTCCAAAATATCAACCCTAGTTCTTATCTTTACTTCAGATTACAGCACTCCTGGGAAATCTTGATAGCAAAGGAACTACAGAACCCCAGGCTACAAAGACTTCATTGCAATTCAGTGAAAAGCAACCCAGATAAGTCTCAAACAGAAACAGGATACGATTTGCAAATTTAGAGTGAGATAGTTTTCCAGCGTTGTCAGAGAGACTCTGTGGCTAATGTGTGTTCCGCTTAGATCATTACCTTTAGTTAACATTGAGCTCCCTCTTTTCAGGCATAATTAAAATTTTAATTTCCCCCAGAATAATCACTTTGAACCCGACCACAGAAGAAACTTCAGAGATCATTCTTCAGCTGGTGCTTCTTTGCTATGTTATTTTTTCAAATTGATTGTCCATATTTCTGGGATTAACTGATTTTAAGTTAGTTATAGTATGATATAACTCTACCAAAACCACAAAAAAGGCAAATTTTATACATATGGTTTACAAGGAGATATGGCTGAATAGGAGCAACCAATTGTAATAACTATAGTCTTATTATCCCCTTAGTTCACAGATAAGTTTGCATTATATGTGTAGGTCCTTCATATACCAAGAAATCCTGAAAATAAGAAACCACCACTCATCAGAAGCCCTATAAAACTGAAGCCACAAAATTGCAATATAAATCATTCTTGATCTCTCTTCATCATGTATTAACTTCCTGAGAAGTGATTATTTTTTCAGTTTTGGGAGCTGTCTTTTTATTTACTCACCATCATACATGCTATTAATAGCTTTCTATTTAATTTCTCTTTTCTGCCATGGTAGAGCTCCTTTCAAACAGGAGCTGTATTACCTCCGTGCAATCATTTTTAAGGAGAAGCGGTTTTCATGCTCACTGTTATATAACTTTAATGAGACAAAAAATTACCAAAAGTAAGAGGTGAAATATAAACTCAAACATAGATAAGTACATAAAACAGTACAGAAGATTAGCTCGGAATGGAATTTGAAAATCAGATGTTTTGTTTCTGTGTTGCTTCTTTTTCATGAAGTTGCAATTGCTACAGAGCCTTTGGAAGAAGCTGAAGGATGCCTAGTTTATGTAAGTGATGTTGGAATTATAGTGTGTCTTCTGATGTTTTGAATAAGGAAAGTACTCTAAGCATACAAAATAATGCAAGGCCAAAGATATGCAGTTTAGGACCTACTATCAGTTGTCGTAACACATCCATCCAAAATGTCCAATACATTAACTCCTCTGTGGAACATGCACTTGACAGTCCTTTGTTTTAATCACAGCTTTTATGATGGAATCTTGCCCCAGCCCTATTTTTAAATGCATTTGGCTTTTTTTTTTTTTTTTTTTTTTTTTTTTTTTTTTTTGACTCCACTCATGGACTTCTCAGCTCTTTAGCTAAGACCAGCTTAAATACTCTCTGGAATTTTTCAGGTTATCTCTGTGCCTCAGGTGGTTTTTCAGTCCTGCTGTGATGCCTGCATGAAGCTATCAAACTAAGACATTATTTTAGCAAAAAAATGGCCGAGAGTTGATCCTTAGCACAGTGTCATTCATTAGTCCTCAGCTGACAAATTGATAATCTTTTCATTATTACCTCATCCTCTTTCCCTGAACTCTGGCTCTTGTTTATCCAATATTGTCTACTGCAGCAAGAAAGCTTCTCAGACTGCCAGACTCCTTTCGGAGGACTAATATACTTTTGGATTTTTCTAGAAATGAATGAAAATTCAATGGGGCAGTGTCTTTGTAAGACAACATACTTAAGGACTTAACATTTGACACCATAATTAGAAGATTTTGGATTACTTAGCCATTCACCAGAGACTTTACAGTCCTACAGCCCCTGCTGTTACATATGTCTAGAAAATAATACCTAGATAATTTTCAATCTTTAAAGAAATAAAAAATTTCCCTGGAAAAAATAATCTTATTACACTGAAGAGCATAATAACTCATCCTTAATATATTTAGACCTTTTCTCTCTTGAATATATGTATTTCTCCTATTCTTCTATATCAGTCTGTGTTTGTATGCATATACAGGTAATAGACATAGTCTCCGTCATCTGAAGATACAGTAACAAGTTAATCAGTTTCTTTGGTGATATATATTTCAACCAGAATGCAATCCCTCAGGAAAATGCTATCCAGGTCATGTTTATCCTCACGTATAAATACTCATGTTTTGTACTTAGTGTATATTCCTGCCAGTAATGTTTGAAAGATCACGAGATGTAGGGCAGGGTTCTAACTTGAGACACAACATTTTCATACTGTCCCTCTGAAAGGGAATTTGAGTATTTCTTTTGGTGGCAATAACCTCTGCTGCACACAGAGAGTGTGCATGGATCTTAAGTCACTTCCAGAGTAGGAGATACTTTGAAAATGAGATGCATACATCAGTATTCATAATCATGACCTTACAAAAGGTTGTATTTCTAACAGTCCTGTTCCATCCTACTTTATACAGGCTCAAAGCAGTCTATGTGAACTTTGGAAATTGTTAAATTCCTCCTAATATACATGTGTGATATAGTGATTTAAATACCAGGATTCAGGCTCTGTTAGCTGGTAGGGGAAGTGAATTCCTGATTTGAGGAACCGCCTGGGTGCACATCCTGGCCTATGTCCCAAAGGTTCCATAGAAGGAATTAGCGGAGCCAGGAAGCATAGCCAGGGGAATGTACCCTGTACTTAACTGATTTAATCAGCACAGTGGGTGTGATTCTTCATTGCTTCCTGGTTGTGGAATCATTTCTACCTGTGTAAAGTGAATGGGAAATTATACCCATTAGTGCTCTCTGTATGCATGTTTAAGTGGCTGTGCAAAGTGTAAGGTATTGGGGAAACAAGCCTCTAATTTGTACTCAAAAGTGATTTGGACTCTAGTGCAAATGCAAGAGAAAAGAACAGCTTTAGAACATCGTAGGAAATTGGTGTCTTAATTACAGTTCAGGTAGCAACACTTTTAGCTGCGAATGTCTCACACTATTATGAGATTCTGCTTTCTGTTTTTTAAAACACTGCTTGATTTAAATTACTAAAAGAACTGCAGAAGAGCTTCAAAAATCATATGTTGGCCACCTGGTCAAGTTATTGTATGCATCACTTCAGTTAATTCTCATAGATGGTTGGAGTGGGGAGCATTCAGTGCTCTGTTGCTTTCTGTTAACTCTACAGTAGAGTTTTGAACAGGGAAATTCCATTAGATGAAGGGCTGGCCTTTTTGTGAGTTGGCATTTCTCTGAAAATATTTAATGGGTAACTTCAAAGCTTCGGAAAACAACCAGTGTTTGCACACACGTTCATATACATAAGGTTTTTGAAAGTTTGTAAGAAGACTGAATTCCTCCCTCAGTTTCTTACAAAGCTACACAGCACTCTGAATGGCACAGCAAAAACCGATGGATGGTATAGGTGGCTCTCTTCTTCTCAAACTGTATTTGTCCCATTAAACATTCCACCACCTAAAATCAGAATTTCTCTACGTTGGGCTGAAAGTTTACAGCGCATGAGCTCATCACCTCATGCTGGCTCCGTGGTGTCAGGAGTTTCATTGTGGAGCTCTTCTCCCTGAGGAACTGCATGTGTTCTATCCCGGGGTCTGAACAGGATTTTTCTTGAATATCTGGTTACCTTAAATATTTTTGACAGTGTTTACTACTATGAAAATCAATGTGTGTTTTAGTAATTCTGATATTTTTTATAATTTAGTGCTTTTTGTGCCAAAAATATAAAAATCTTTGGAGAAAATAAATTACGTAGGAGAACATTGATGATGAATCACTAACTGGCAGAAAAAGCTACCAAGTATCTTTATTGTATCTTTTTAAAACATTAAGTGTTCCTCTACTAGATGGATCTGTGAAGCTGCCAAAAAAAAACAAAAAAAAAACAACAACAAAAAAAAAACAGATGGAAGAGTAATGTATGAGCCAAACTCTCCCAAAATTTCAGGCCATCATTTGTTCTTTAAGGAAAGATCAAATGACTAAAAACTAGGATCAGTGTAGGTCAAGTAATAAGCACAATTCTGTTAGAGCAGCAAATAGAGGCCACACGGTTCATACAGACCCAGAGATGCACCAGCTGTCCAGATCCCCAGTGGGCTTTTATCTCCTCATTTTACACAGAAAC